CTTTCCCTATTCATTTTACTTTCTTGAAGCGGAGATTAAGTTTTCTACTTCCCATACATACTACAAAACACTTCCAGTGTTAAACAAAGGAACATGGAACGTATGAATGCCAAACAAAAGCCCACACCTAAATTCCATAGGACCACAAAATTTAAGGCCAAACTCACACGGGCAAAATTTACCATGCTTAGCTAGCAAAAGCACTTTGCAGTCAAGGTGTTAGTGAAAACAATTCCTTAATCCTATATCATTGAAACTCACATCCTAAAATATTCTTGCAGTTGACTATCAAGCAAAGGGAGTTTTCCGCTGCTATCTTGTCTCTTTTCATTTAAAAGTTCCAGTTTCTTGTTCAGCTCTTTTAAGCTTTTCTGCATCTGTTCAATTTCTTTGGAGTGCTTCCCCTTTTCTCTTTTCCTTCTATCTAGCTCCTTCCGGCTGCTCTCAATTTTTGATGTTATACGGGACATTTCCTCCTTCAACCTTAGAAGCTCAGGTTGCTGCACGCAGAAAACAGGCATGAATAACTAAATCACATTTACAGCCAGTGGCAAGAGTACCCGTCAGATTCCTCCCCGTAGGAAGAGACATCAGCAACTGCTATACAGGGGAAAAGAAAAAGTTCTCTGTCAAACAAAAATTAAAAATCTACTCACGTATCTTTCAAGCTTTGAGCTTCTCTCAGCGATCTTCTTTTCACATTGCGCAATTTCTTTCAGATACTTTGCTTGTTCTTTCTTTCTCTTACTTGCTTCATTTTCAAAATTCTCCAGTTCTCTCATGACATCTTCACGACTCCTCTTTTCAGCTTCAACATCCTTGTTTGCCTTTTCGATATCATTCTCAATGTTATACAATTGCCACAGGCAGTGTTCTCGCTTCAGAGCTTTCTGCATTCATACAGAAATATTAACAGGAATGCAACGATGACGATTCATCAAGAACATTGTTTGGCTACAGAACAGCGAAACCAAAATAACACCAAAACTTTGGGAATGAAAGTGGCGTCTTTCTTACCAATTCCTCCTGTAACCTTAGATGCTTTTCAGCTTCTTCCTTCTGTTCTTTCTTCTGTTTCTTTTCCTGTGTTATTGTTTTCTTTTTCTGATATATAAGGGCTGATTTTTCTTCAGCGCTGGCCTTCTTTTCTTCCAGATCCTCATACTCCCTCTTAAGCTCCTCAGACCCAGAAATCTGCTCGAGAAGTCCCGTGAGCTCTTTCGGGTTCTTGGAGGCAATCGACTCAACATCACCCTACATTTTGGGAGCCTTTTTCAGAAGTAATTGATTTGGTTTGCACCTCTTCTAAATTCCTATAACAGCAAATTACAACCAAAACACTCCCCAGAACTCTAAGACAGGAGACAGTGACAAAAAATTGGGATTGAAGTAAATGAAATATGATAAACTTAAACAGCAACAATCAAATAAAAGCAGATAAACTACAAAAGAATTTGAAAATGAACAAATAAAGCAAGTATTGTGTTGATTCTGGAAAAGGGGGAACAGCCAATCACCTGAAACACTAGGAAGTTACGAGCCTTAACCAGTATGCCAAGGGAACGTAGCTTCCCATTGTACTCGTCCCAATTCACGACCCTATTATCGATACGATACTCACTCCCGCCGGCGCTAGTGATGGAACGCGTGAAATGGAGCTCTGACCCATCCTCGAGCTGGTAAACGAGGCGAACGTAGGCTCTACGACCCTTTTGCTCCTTCTCTCGGTCATCGTAGGCGTAGATGAGATCCTTCAACTGTGACCCACGCAGTTGACCAGTACGAACTCCGAGGACGAAGCTTATGGCGTCCATCAGATTCGATTTTCCCGCGCCGTTTGGACCAATAATCGCCGTGAAGTCCATGAACGGACCAATCAACTGCTGTCCCTTGTAAGACTTAAAATTCTCCATCTCCAGCCGGAGGATCTTACCCGACGGCGTCTGTATCGACGGCATGATTCGAACTCTAGGGTTTTCCCTCCGCTGATTTTCCTCAACCAGTGAAACTCAAGAAGCAGCAGATTGGGATTAGGGTTTCGAAATTCGAACCTGTTTCACCGGTTTGGTTTTCCAGCAGAATCAGGGGATTCCCCAGGGGGGAATTCGAAGGTTTTTGGAGGAGAAGGGAGGAAAAAATGGCGGGAAGGGAAAATTTCCTAATTTTCTTGGAAGAGGATAAAATCCGATGGGGCATTAAGGAGAGAAGCTTCAGTATCCATTTCCCAGAGTGATGGAAAAACTGAGAGTTCACAAGGCGTCTTTCCCTTCGGGCCCTGGGGCTCAACTCAAGTCCAACCCCCTTTCCTTTTTTTTTATTTATTTAATCTGTTGAAATGGAATGAAATCCAATTAGAATTTCAGAATTATGAACCGGCCGGTTTCGTAGTCCGGTTCTTCGGTTATTTTAAAGAAAGACCGGTTATATTCTTTTACCGGATTAATTCAACGAAAGGAAAATACACTTGCTGCGGTTTTTTTTACAAGCAACCGACATTTTACACACATTCCATGGAATCTATCTGGATATATGAACATGTAAATCACCATAGACGAGTGGCAAATCCAGAACGTAGAAAGCTAGATCAGTGCCTCCCTAGGTGTCAAATTCCATCAAGAGAACTGGAATGTAATCAGTCAAATACCCACAAAACAACTGACCAAAACCCATGAGAATAGTGTACACAAGGAACCGAAATGCAATTATCCGGCCTGGTTATCTTTTAGGGTACCCGGCCTTGGCTTCGGATCCGAAAGTTCTAATCGAAAAAACGTCTCAATGAGATCCGGGTATCCGTGGCCTGGATATGATGTCTCTCGCACCGTTATGCCATGTGCTCCGGTGAATGATTCGATCTTGCATTCGGCAACTACAACAAGTGAAAGAACCAGTGGCAATGATGCAAGATTTTCTAACGGACAGGTCATGTGAGCTGGGGGTCTCTGGTGGTTTTCAACTAACAAGAGCCGGAGAAGTACAGATTGTGCACCGTGAAAATCTGCAGAGATTAGAGATTGAGCTAGCTGGTTCTTCCTGCACATATTAAACAATGTCTGAGCTTGAAATGAGCATCAATAATCCCCCCCCCCTACATATTTCAGACAAGCGGTTATACCCTGTTGCCTTGATGAGCTGTTTCATGTATCCTTCCCACATCTCATGCATTGGCTTAAACAAATCAAACCTGCATCTGAAACACAGACCAAACCAAGAAACATACTAAGACAGTTTAAAGGAGTAACAGACAATGCTGAGGAAGAAAAGAAAAACAGTACAGTCAGATGCACGGCCAGTTCACTATCCAGGACAACAAGAGACGACCCGAGAAAGTCCGAATAGAACTCACTTTTGGGTTTCCTTAGGCAATTGCAAAGCTCCAGATTTCTTGAGTTGTTTCATAGACATACACGCCTTTTAGGGCGTTTTGAATTCTTCTGCAAGGCCTTTGTAGAGCCTGAGGATGGTACAAAATTATCGAGCAGGATCCAACTGTCCGGCTTCACGTTTCTAGAACCTTGCAAGTACTTTCGGGCTGAATCACTGCTTTGGAGGAGGTCATGCAAAACCTTGTCTGTAATGCTTCCTTTTGCCCTAGAAAACTGCATGACAGAGGCACATACCGAACAAATAGAGCACGGCGATCTCAGAATTCCTCGACTAGCAGACATAATAAGAAGAGAGTAGCTTCTTCCCTTCAAATATCGTAGGCTACCTTAAATCATCTTCCTTTGCATCTACCAAAATCTAAAACCTTTTCCAGCCAATGTGCTCGAAGAACTAGCTTTAGAGCGAAATCTGCATCAGAGGGTTCCTTCTTGTCTCTCTCATTCTTTTTTTGTTCCTGGATGTGCAGCAGCAAGCCTCCGTATGGAAACTAAATTGATCCTTATCAATGACGAAACAGATCACCCCCCCCCAAGGTATTGCGAGATTCAACCCTAAAAATCTACAGAATTCCAAAACTTACGGAGACAAAATACTACTCCCTGTAACAAAATCTATTTTCTACATGAACAGTCCCTGTAACAATATGGCCGATTCAAGCCCATATTTTGGATTTTTTTAACTCGTCAGAGACAGGGCCGCCGGCACAGGGGGCAGGAGTCTTTCCGGACAAGCCATTGGTCGAGACAGAGACGGTGAAAGACGTGAGAGCATGGCAAATCACTCAGATACTTACCCGAATCCCCAAAGCTCTCCAGGCAGATACAGCAGACGTCAGATTCCGACACGGAGAAGGTTATCTCTTCGGTCAGTCTCACTTCCACGAACACGAAGAAGCTTTCGCAACTGGAACTCATCTCCGCAACCGAATCAGCGATCTGCGGGGCCAAGTATTCGCACATAGGAGGATCTCGGAGATCGTCGCATAGGAGTTGGTAGATGTCGCCGGAATCGGAGCTACGAAGGTCGAATTTGACGAATTTGGTGGAGGAATTCGGGTAAATCCCGATATTGTTTTCGCGGCCATCTGGGTATTTGACAGATTCCTTTGTCTCGCTCTGCACATAAACGAAGACGCTGTGCAGGCCTGATGACGCGTGAAGCTCCTTCGCATCCAGGGCTACGTCGATTTTAGTTTGGCACTCCATTGTCGAAAATCTTTACTCTTTTTCTGGGAAATCAAAAACCCTTTTAAGATTTCTCAGAGAGAGACGGGAGAGAGTCGCACAGAGAGAAAAAGATGAGAGAGTCGCACAGAGAGAAAAAGATGAGAGTCTCGCAGAGAGAGAGAGATGAGAGAGAATGGCGCAGTGAGAGAGATGAGGGAATGCAAATGGGGCCATATAGGTAAAGAAATGGAAAAAATTTTCTCTTAAATGACCGTTGGAGATTTTTCAAAAGAAAGGAAAGAACAAAGAAACGGAAAAAATCGGAAGAAGGACTAAGGAGATCTTCTTTTTTTTTTTTTTTGCATTGATTCAGATTTAATTTAAAATAAAGTAATTTTATTAAAATTAAACAATATATTTAATCATCTTTAAAATCAGATTTAGATTTAGTTTGAATAAAACATATATATATCCTCTCCATTTAAATGTTTTTATCTGAATCAATTACCGTAATAAAAAAACTTATTATAAACATGTTGTGTAATGAACATTATAATTTTTGACGGATTGTGGACAAAATAGTAGAATTTTTTATTTAAATTTTAACATTCATATTTTGCAATAATTTCATAATAATAATTACTTTCCTTAATTTTTACATGGGTAAGTAATAGGGCGACTATTTTGTAATGTAAATGTAAAATTGAATTGAACATACAAACCTGTAGTTATATTTAAAATGAATCTGACTTAAAATTAAATTAATTGAACGAAATATATAAATAATGTAAAATTTTAGTGGAAACTAAAATATTTGAAATCACTAATATCTTTTTATAAAATTAGTTTAGTTTAAATTAAACTTGAATCAATGTAAAAACAAATTAAAAAAATAAGATCTCTTAGAAACGAATCTGAAAATGATATCTCCCTCCGATTTTTTTCCATTTTTCTTCGCCGGAAAAATCTCCAACGGTCATCAAAGTTGAAATATGACCGTTTATCTATACTCCCATTCCCATAATCCCATTTACATTCTCTCATCTCTCTCTCTCTCTCTCTCTCTCTCTCTCTCTCTCTCTCTCTCTGCCATTCGCTCTCATCTCTCTCTGTGCGACTCTCCCTCTTCCCTCTCTCTCTCAGAAATCTGAAGAAGGGTTTTTGATTTCCCAGAAAAAGAGTAAAGATTTTCGCTGATGGATTGCCAAACTAAAATCGACGTAGCCCTGGATGCGAAGGAGCTTAACGCATCGTCAGGCCTGCAGAGTATCTTCGTTCATGTAAAGAGCGAAACGACGGAATCTGTCAAATACCCAGATGGACGCGAAACCAGGATCGGGATTTACCCGAATTCCACCACCCAATTCGCCAAATTCGATCTTCGTAGCTCCGATTCCGTCGACATCTACCAGCTCCTCTGCGACGATCTCCGAAACCCCCCGATGTGCGAATACTTGGCCCCGCAGATCGCTGATTCGGTTGCGGAGATGAGCTCCAGTTGCGAAAGCTTCTTCGTGTTCGTGGAAGTGAGACTGACCGAAGAGATAACCTTCTCCGTGTCGGAATCTGACGTCTGCTGTATCTGTCTGGAGAGCTTTGGGGATTCGGGCAAGTATCTGAGCGATTTGCCCTGCTCTCACGTCTTTCCCCGCCTCTGTCTCGACCAGTGGCTCGTCCGGAAAGACTCTTGCCCGTTGTGCCGACGGCCCTGTCTCTGACCGTGACACCAGTGAAAGTAATCAGTTTTTTTTTTAGGGTTTGTTCTTGTTTCCAATAGATCTGTACCACTGGCTGAACCAAAACAGCAAGTAGCATTTCCAGTTTATGCAATAGCTGAAATTTTGAGATTCACTAGAAACAAGGACGAGTCTTTGAGCATGAATACAGCTGACAGGGTGGAACCAAGTTCTAGTGGTTATTGTCGGAATCGGGTTTTTGTCAGAAAGTGTGGAAGATGACATTAACAACCCTACCGACCCGCTGCGCCAATGGTGCAGTGGCATGGGTTAGTCTGGTTCGCCTTCATACAGTGGCTCACACATCTCGGTCGGCTCCCAACCAGGGATACATTGATTCACACATCTTCTTGCTTGAGTGTAGTTACAGTGCTAGCATATGGATCCACTTTGCCTGGAAGTGCTGTCCGAATCCGCCAACCAATCAGTCTAAACCTTTTTGCAGCAACACGCTGTCTCAGACTGGATTGAACCGCACCGACGATTGCCAAGCTACTTGCGCAGTGTTAGATTAGATGGTAGTTAGTCAGTTCTGATTCCTCTCTCATCTTTCCAAGATTCTCGGAAGATATTATGGCCTCTCTTCTCTGTTTGCGCCGAGTTGTTCATGTCGTGTATGTGTATATAGCACTCTTGTATCTAAACCTGATATATGAGAAATACTTTTCCATTTTATATCGTGTATGTGTATATAGCTCTCCGCCCATATTCCTCCTCCTGTTTTGCCTGCACCCGCACCAAATCTCGACCCATATTCGAATCCTCTTTTCCTTCGTGCTGTGAGTAGGTTTCATGAGAATCCAACTACAGCGTTTGGTCTCGCTCCATCTTTCGGCGGCCTTGAGGCAGCAGGTTGACCGCACAATACGAAATGCCTTCATCTCCAATTCACAGGTCGCTAGTTCTGGCAAATTCTAATGAGCTGTTGGGTAATGGTTGTCCAGTTTCAAACCCATTTCCCTCAGCGCCGTTTCCTTGAATTGTATAAACAGCAAGTGCCAGATCTCTAGGGTTCTTTGAGATTGTAACCATATGGCGAAGGGTGTTGTGTTCGTTTTATGATGATGCATCTTACAGACACGACTCTGTTGAACTCTGTAGCGTTCATTTAATGATTAACATATTACATAAAAGAAACAAGAGAGAGTTCACAAAATAAGACAACAAAGCCTAAATCTTTGTTCTTGCCCAAAACCCGAACATCATCGCAAACGTAACATATCATCAGAGAGATAAAAAACTATACGATGGGGACGGTCCTATTGTTGTTGCTGTTGTTGTCGTTGTCGTTCTCCTCGTTTTCTCCCGACATTTCTTCCAGAGACTTGCCTTTTGATTCAGGCACCAAGAAAGTGAATACCATCCCCAAGAAGTTGACGACGCCCAACACGATAAGGGAGTTCCTCACCCCGATACCAGGAGGGTATCCTGCCTCTGTCTTTGCCTTGTCCGGGCTCTGAGCCAAGTACAAGAACCCGAATGCACCTACAATGGCTCCCAATTTACCCGATGCAGCGGATATTCCATGGCAGGTTGACCTGAGTCTTGCCGGGAAGATCTCGGCAGGAACCACAAAGGTCGTGGCATTAGGTCCGAAGTTGGCGAAGAAGAAGGTTAAAGAGTACATCACCACGAATCCGATTCTGTTGTCCTTGTGAGTCCAGTGGTCGTAAGGAATGGCTAAAGCGAACATGAACACCGTCATGAAGAAGAAACCCATCAGCTGGATGGCGAATCTTCCGATGATGTCGATGAGACCGACGGTGAACCAGTAGCCGGGGACGGTACTGCACAGGGCGATGAGGGTCTGAGCACGGGCGATTCTGAAGACTTCTTGGATGGCGTTCATGGTCTGAGCGGGAGGAATCCATCCGATCGCGCTGAAAATGTCCTTCTGGAACAAGTTCTGGCTGTAGAAGGCGATGTCGAGCAAGAACCAAGTGCTGGTCGTCCCGAGCAAGTGAAGCCCGTGCCGGCGAAGGAATTCCTTGGAGAACAAGCCAAAGGAATTGGACTTATCCTGAGCAAGCTGTTCCACTTTCTGCTGTTCCGCTTCGATCTCAACTTGCAGAACCTTAGACATGTCCGAAGCCGCCTGTTTCCCGTCCTTAGCGACCAACGCAGTGTACCGTGCCGTTTCGGGCATCTTCGTCCTCCAGTAGTACGTCAGAGCAGCGGGCAAAGCTCCGACCATCAGAATGATTCTCCAGACGTAATCCGCCTGAGGAACCGTCGACGCGACTGCGTCCACCTCGTATGCAGGGGCCGGAAACCCAGCCTCAAACGCAGCCGCTACGATGATTGCGAAAATCCCACCGGTCATGATTCCGAATCCCTGCATGGCGAAAACGGCGGCGATAAACGCACCGCGAGTCTTCTTGTTAGAGTATTCGGACATTATCGTAGCCGACAAAGGGTAATCTCCACCGATGCCGAAGCCGAGCCAGAAGCGGAAGAAACAGAGAGTGGCCATTACAGACTTGGGGTCTGATCCGAAGGACAAACCAGAGGCGACGGAAGCGATAACCATGAGCATTAGAGTCATCCCGTACACTTTCTTCCTCCCCAATTTATCGCCGAGCCAGCCGAAGAAGAGCTGACCCGCCAGCGTCCCGCAAAACGCGACGCCGTTAACAGCGGCTGAGACGTTCGGCGGTAGCGTTCCGGGCTTCTTGGAGCCGTCCACATGGTAGTAGATGCGTCCAAGGAGCTTCGTGACCAGAGATATGCAGAAGAGATCGTACGCGTCTGTGAAGAATCCCATTCCCGCGATTATAATCGCTGTGAAATGGTACCATTGCGTTTTCGCCACGTCAAGTGCGTTTAGAACCTGCAGTTGATCACCCGCCATTGATCTCTTCTTTTCCTCTACAAAAATATATGAGAATAATAAACAAACAAATAAATAATAAATGTGTATATTAAATATAGAATGGGAACATGACAAATTAAAGGTGGTGATGTAGAAAGTCAACACTTCTATTACATTTAAATCTGAAAGTAACTATATGATGATGGGTCCAATGTGGACTTGATAAGTCGTTGCGTTGAATTTTTTTTCCCTAACTGAAAATGAAATAATTAAATTTTATTTCTAATGAACTCCAAATTTATGGTAGAGAAGGCATGGTATTGGTAGGTCCATATTTATTGGTTTTAGTATATGATTTTATTTTTATATAACGATGACACGAAGACAGAGCTTAATGTTGTGTCATATAATATTTATCATTTTTCAAGGCGGAAACAACTTGCAATGACGAATAAGATTTCTATTCAAATAACATAATACAATACTAGAAGTCTCTTATGGAAGGGGCAAAATTCAGAACAAGCATGATGTAATATATATGTGTATATATATTAATATATATACATATATATATGTATTTATGTACATATACCAAGTTGTCAATACTCGCTTTTGTTTTAATACTATCAAATCTCAATATTTAGCTTTAGATTATTTTAATTTAATTTTAGGAAAACAAATCTAACAAATAATAATAGTTAAATGTTGAGGCTCATTGATTATTTTTTTTTTGACAAAACATTGGTCAGCCTGCTTCTCTTTATTTATATACATCAATTTTTTTTTATAAAATCTATTTAAAACGCAAAATATTTATAAATCTAAATGTAATTCTAACAACAAAGCAAAAAAAAACTTAAAAACATTCATTTAAAATTTATTTTATCTACAATATGAGATAAAATATTTAAAAAATTGCTAAATGCATCTGGAAATTACAATTTTTTTTTATCGAATTATAATGCCATAACTACATAATTAATAATATGTATTCATACAATGTCTACAAATTAAAATAAATCTCAATATTTATAAAATATCTAAAAATTAATATCTTTATTATTTCACCATTTCAAATAGTTAAATTGACAAAATTTATATTTTTTAGATATTAAAAGAATAGTTTTTATTTAAATTTGTGATTTTTTAAAAAATAATAGTTTTTGAATGTTTTTTAAATTGATATTTATTAGATCTGTGAATTATATATTTTTAAAATGGATATCTTTCAAATAATTAAGATTTTTTGAAATTATTTGTATAAATACATAAAGATATATACTTAACCAATCCACAATCATATTTAAAGTTGTTGTTTTTAACTCAAGAAAAGTTCGGATATCTCCCTTTTCTTTAATTTTTCACTAGACAACTTCAATTTAAGTTAAAATTTGGATATTTTGCAAGGTTTGTCAATTTTAGTTTTAGTTAAAATTATATTATGAAAAAAAAATGGTTTCTTTTTCATTAAATTTTAATAATTTGATTTGAATCATATAATAAAACTATATATGCCCGATCTTCGAGTATTAGAAGTTAACCGACTCCTCGAATAAAATCTCTCAAATTAGATCAAATTCAAGATGAGTTCAAAACCTAAAACGAAAGGAGAATATATATATATATATATATATAAAGTCGTTGCTACAAGACAAAACAGAGATCATAGACGCAGAGGAAACAAAAAGCACAGGAAAAAAAATTCATATCCAAAAAGAAAAGGAAAAAAAAAACAGGAGAGCCTAACATCGTCCCCTTATATATTCCAATTAATCTGGAGATTGAATCGTTCATACAACAACGAATGAAATTTATTTTAAATTATTTAATTTTCGTAACGAAAATTTTAAATTAGACGGTAATTAATGCAAAAAAAAACACAAAATGATTCGAACAGTACATTAATTACGTCGACTTACACGTAGACGAGATCGAGAAACAGCGTTGTCTTGTTCCTTGTCCAAGATTTTTCTTGTCGGAGAGAAAAGAGGGAGTGTTTGTTTCTCGGGAAAATTAGTGTGAGAAAATGAGAGAGAGAATGGTTCTGGACGAAGCGCCGTGAGCGGCTATTTATACGCTGTTTTGCCCCTTTTGAAATATTCCTTCAGTCTGTTCGGTATATTCCATCTTCTTACGACGCCGTTTTTACCCTCTTTGACTTTTCCTTCCTCGCCTTTTTTTGGAATTCGTTTCCATTGAGGGGCATTTTTGATATTCCAGTCTAATATTTACGCGGATAATAAAAACTGTTTTTGGAAAAAATCTAACTATAAAGTTTTAAAAATATGTATTCAAAATTTTAACTATCTACAAATTAGTTTTTCATTTAAAAAGCATCCGACAAAATCTTTAATTTAAATGAAAAATCCATTTGACTATCCATAAATTTCAAATAAAAATCCAAATTTTAAACATATAAAAATTACAATTTTTACTAATTTAATATATTTTAAAATTTTAGACATGAAAATTTGAAATAACATGGGAATTTTTTTTAAATATTGATATTTATTTAGATTTGTGGGTAGTTTAACTTTTAATAGATCATTATATATAAATATATTTAAAAAACTATAACATAAAATCTAAACCGTACTTTTATATAAAAAAAATGAAAACTCAACTACATCTATGTATAGATGATCATTCTATTTATAATGTAATATATTTTGATTAAATATGATTTTTTGATACTTTTATAAGTCTTTTATATCTTATTTGGATTTATCCATGATTGTATTCTTATATAATTTTGCCAAAATAAGAGTTTTTTTGTTTGTTAAAATTGGAAGTTTATTTGAATTGATAGATAATTGAAGTTGTAAATTGAATTTTTAAGTTGAAGTTTGTTTAAATATAAACCTTACAGATGAAATTGGTTAATATATATATAAAATATTTTTGCATATATCCTGACAAGAGTTAACTGTAATTTTTATCCATAAACCAGAATTAATGTACCATATCTGTTGACTAATAAAATTATTACAAGAAAATGTGCCAAACTATACAAAATAAAATTTACTTGGTGCATCCAAAATTGGGTGATTCAATTGGTAGGTTCGAGTTCCCACTTGATTGAAGAGAGACATTCAAACGGTGCATAAACACTTCATATCTACCGATTATCCTATATTTTCTAACAGCTAAATTATTTAATTTCGTTTAAACGATCAACATAAGAATATTATAAAATATTTTAACTCGGTTTATTTAGTCTCTCCAATATTTCAGAATTTTTAAATAGGATATTTAGCCCTACATATTTTTGTACCATCTTGCATCTGCATGATTTTTAAGTTGACAATTTTACAATGATGTGAGTAGGTTTCGTGATAATATGAATTAAATGTTGATAATAAATAAATTTTTTAATGAAACGATAATAGCATTTAATATTTGATTTCATTGAGTATGGGAATGAACATCTATTCTGTCTCTCAGAATAGGACTCACTTATTGAATTGAACTAATAAATATATAAATATTTTTTTAATAATTGGGTGTTCTAAACCGAAGTCCACACTGATATCAGAATCACGAACAAGTCATCTGATTGGAATTACACTTTCCTTTCCAACTTGAGATTCGAATTCGGGACGGAACAAATGGTTTGCGTCTCTATTTCACCGGTTGAATTATCTAAATTGGGTATATAAATATTGAAAAGAAAAATATATAACTTAGGGAATAATAAATATGAAAGGAAAAATATATAACCAAGCGATTTTCCCATTGGAGCCTGTAATTTCGATTTGGTAATTTAATCTCATAAATTTTTGTAGCAATGATGATGTAAACAAAATGTATGACCATTATATATATTATAATGATAATATTTTTTAAAAACTCCGAGAAATGGAAATTTTCTTATTGGTAAACTATTGTTGGTGACATCGAAATGATAAATCTATTAAAATAGGATATCAGTTTCGTTCATATTTGAAATAAAGGATGTTGAGATAATATATTGCTCGAATATTTTAGGAGATTAATGGATTTTGATTTCTCTTATTATTATATTCTCAAATTCCATATTTGATTTTTATGAAAGCGTCTGAATTATATCCTAAAAACTAAAAAAAAATAAACAGACGAATAAATCACTTTTATATAGTGAAGTAAAAATAAATCACTTTTATATAATAGGAAAATCGTGTGAATAATTATTTCTAAAGAAATTTAACATTTAGAGATATTTGAAGCCCATGCTGACTTTTGCTGGCTCGACTTCAAACTCTGCAACTTGGATGCTTTGACTTTCATTTCCAAGTTTCGGCATTTTATTGCTTGAAAGTGTTGACTCTCTCCAATCCACGTTCACATTTTTATGAAATCTACATGCATTTAGTGTGCGTATATGTTTTAATATATATATATATATATATATATATATATTAATCACGTCAAATATATAATGCGTTAGATATGGAATACAATTTGAAATATCACTTTTATCATTAATTATCCAACAATTTTGACAAATATCACATCTTACGAAAAGAAAATTATCTTAAACCGAAATCCATACTAATTTCTCGAGGTCGAGAGCAAACCATGTGATTGAAATTACACTTTCTTTCCCGACTTGAGACTCGGGACGAGACAGACCAGTGGCAGACCTAGAGAAAATAATTAGTCGGGCCAAATAATGAAAAAAGTTATAAAAAAAAGGAAGGAAAAAAAATGAGGGGGCACACAACAAATTTTGACAGGGCATGTCACATTTTTCATTAAAATTTTATAAAAATATAACTAAAATAAAATTTTGTATGGGGGCATAGGACCCCATTCAAATATAAATGGGTCCGCCCCTGGAATAGACGTTTGACGTCTCTATTTCACCGGTTGAACTATTCAAGTTAGACGAAACGGTCTCTTCTTATTAACAAAATATTGTTTTTGGCTTTTTTATCTTATTTTTAAAAAACTGTCTTTAATTGTCTGAAAATACATTTTTTCTATTTATATGACAAAGTTAATTCTATACATCAATAGAATGATTTTGTATTGCAGAATTCTTTTCAACACTATGATAAAATATTTAATCATAGTACAAAATACAAAATTTTCTCCACACTACATATTAAGTAGTCCAAACTATACAATGCCGATTTCATGGATAATGTCGTTGGTTATCCCACGTTTCTATTTATTTTTAAAAATTCTATAAATTCATACATCAATTTTTAAGTCAATAAATCACACAAGTTTCTTTGAGGTGGAAAATGAAAATGAATGACAAGAGAATACCGTGGAATAAGAAATTTTCAATATAGAATGTTTATTGAAAATTTCCTAGGATGGATTGGTGAAATGGTCGTTTTTTAAATGATAGTGGAAAAAAAAAATCACAAAACCATATGATGACAGAGAAGGAAAAATATAGAAAAAATACAGAGAAAAAGGGAATAAATATTTTGTATCAATGGAAATTATTTTTTGTGCAAATGATAAAATTTGACAAAGTTGTAGAAACTTATCACTAAAAGTTACTATCACTGAAATACCCTACATGCAGTTACAAGGGAATGTTAAAAATTATAGAAATAGATATTCATATAAAAGTTATTTGGAAAAAAAATGTGGAGATTGAGATATTATAAATTACAAAAATATTGTATTACTTGAAAGACGATACATGTATATGTATATGTAACTAAACGTTTAAAACTATAGAAACTGGTAGATTATAAGTGTATTAATATAAAAGTTAGTTGAAATTTTTTGTAAATATAGTAAAAACAGAGGTTCATATTATTGGTTACAATAATATTCCAATACTTTACACAAAATTATTAGACAAAATTTCGAATTTTAGGGTTCTATATATTACCTTTCTTCATTTTCTTTTCCTATAAAAAATTGAAAAAAAAAGAAAGATTTACAGAAATATAATGTGACATCTTAAAAGAAAAGTCCATGAAATAGACAAATCAAAATGAAGAAAGGTAATAACTTTTGTGAAAAATCCAACTTTTATATATATATATATAATGCAAATGGTTAATTAAATTAAATTAAATTTATGTGAAAAATCCAACTTTTATAACAACGACGTCACGTAGATTCCGAATAACTTTTGTGTTACGTGAAAATCTGACGTTGCGATCTTTGGACGACACGAACAGCCGAAGTGCCAAGTTGAAGATGAACTGAAAAAAACAAAGATTCTACACGCAAATATAATATATTCGTAATTTTATTAACCTTTTTCCCTAACTCAGATTCTTCAATTATATATATGTATATATATATATATATATGTATGTATGTTCCTTTAGTTGTCTTGACAAATACAAACAAGTAATTCCGAACCAACAAAAAACAATTATTAATATTGTAGAAAATTCCCACTTGCATAAATCCTTTTCGTGGGAGATTAAAACATGGCCTCTACATGTCAGTCCTGATAGCGAGATGATTCACTAAAAGTCCAGATACGTACTTATATACACATATATATATATATATATATATACATAATATATCTCTCAAATTAATATATATTTACTCTTTTATTTCAAAATTTTCCAAGTTTAATAGGACAAAATTATTTATATTTCTAACAATATTTTTTTAACGATTTCAATGATTATGTACCGATGGAAAATATCGTATTGGGATCAACGCATAAAATTTTGAATATATGTAAAATATTATTTCCGTTTTTCATATCCTTCAACATAATTTCCGCACTTGTGGTATCATACAAAATAACTTGTGGAAGGTTTACATAATGAGGAATTTCCGTATTTCACTTCAGAAAGATCCACCGAACTTGGTCGTATTAAGGGTTGTAATTGAAATCATTAGGTATATTGTTTGGTCTACATTTGAAAATAAGACCAAGTAGATGTAATAAGGTGGTACGTCAACACGTAGGCGTTAGAAAAAACGATATAAAATTTTGCGTCTATTAATATATAGTAAAACAAGCTTGTTCACGTACTAATTAGTCATACTATATAGTAACATTTATAGTTATCGATCCAAAAACATTATCCTATCGGGCACCAATATT